CAGTAATTAATATAAATTAAACAATTTCATTTTTCTTTAACAGTTTTTCTTTGATCGTTTTCTGAAAGGAATTAACAGATTCAATGCTTTTTTCCAGATTATTCCAAACTGAAGTGCAAATTTGTTCTGCTTTTCAGTTTAACAAACATTTGTAATCCCTTCAAATTATAGCAGCTTTCCCTGTCAACAAAATGTGATTGGATGTTTGATGGCAACACATTTACGTTTATGAGCCTTTTACATAACCTGCAGAATGTTATAATCAACCAACTCATGAAATTTTAACAAATTTAGTAGATGAGACATTATATTAGAAGGGTGACAGTAATGCTTTCTTGTAATAATATTTTGTGAATTCTTAGAAAGTAAGAATTACATCTTTGACTCCTTCAAATTCAGTGTTTTCTGAAATTAATTTCAGCATTGTTGCCTTTCATTTTCAGTTCTTMGCCACAAATTTAGTCACAATTAGCTTTTAGCTGCTGTTTTGCCTGTTTCTTTCTAACACTGCCCTCCTGAAACCGAACTCCTCCGCACCACCACCACCTGTGGGGCACACCCAGCAGATTAAGCAAACTACAATWACCATCTGACCCAGATCTGCGTGGAGCTGCTTCCTAAACAAACAGCGTGTGCATCTCATCAGCCTGGAAATTGCATCAGTGCGCATTAAAAGGACCACAGAAACGGTCACAGGCTGTTTCCTCGGGGGACTCTACCTGCATTATGTGGAGGAGAAGGGGGCAGGTGGGAGAGASGGGTGGGTGGGCTGCTGTTTCATTTGAATGCTTGCCAGAGAGATCCCTCCTCTGTGTCCTTCACCGCCTCATTTCACTTTGAGCAAAACAGCATCACACACACTCCCCCCCTCCTCCTCTTCTCTTCATCTCCCTGCAGTCTGTCTGACACCTGATCCAGCTGAAACAAGCATTTGGGCACCTGACATTCATGTGTGTTTCTGAAATACAACCTGAGAGCTCCTCCTGACCAGTTAGCTTCTCAGGCTGAGTCACAARCAGTGGAGATGATCGTGTGGCGCACGCTTAAAAGCTGTAAATGTTTACAGAAAGAGAGGGAAGTAAGATGGATTTGTTTGCGACAGCCGAAAGGCCTCTGCGGGCTTTGGGTTGAAGAAAATAATAAATGTAGTGCTGCTTCACAACAGTGATTTAGACACAGTGGATGGTAGCAGATTACACATCGATCAAACACCTCTCCTCCCCTTTAAATATAGATTTTAGAGAAAAATGTGAAGGCAGGTAATTTACTGGCCAACCATGTTCTTCGGATCGCTTTGTGCAAATCAGTCACTGTTGGAGAGATTTTATCAATTACAGTAAAGTGAAGCTGCAGGTTGTGGGTTTTAAAGTGAAGCTGCAGCTGCTGGTTGTGTGGGTTTAAAATGAATCATACACGATCTTTAAAGAAGAGCTGTAAGTCTAATTCAAAACAAAGATGGAAATTATTATTTTGTGTTATATTGAGGGGAAAAATAAGAAATTTCTGGTTAAACTATATATAACAT